AAATGATCTTATCATTTATCGTTGCAAGCAGCATTAAAACTTTTATATTGTTAATTTTGTATAAAAATGTTTTAAACCATTATTTCCCTGAACTGCACATTAAATGTGAAACATTTTGAATTCCCTTTGAATGAAGAAAGAGTGAAACGATCGTTCTATCCTAAGTTCCGAAATTATCATTCTGGGGGTCTTCTCTAGTATTTTTTAGTCTTCAGTAAATGCTTATAGTATTTTTGTGAATTCATATTTTGTGCATAAATTCATGTTATAGCGTCCTTCTTCGTTTGCCCGAAAGGGATCGTAATATCGTTCTTAAACTGTATCATAATATGGAAACCGGAACATAAATCAAAAATAATAACTATTGCACTCTTTATTTTAAATCTATTGGTATAAAAAAAATAGCCCTGGTCATTAAAAAAAATTATACAAAAAATTTAATTAATATTTTTAATAATATATAAAATCTAATATTATTTTGATTATTAATTACCATAATTTATGGCATTCTGATTCGGGAAATTGGTTTGTTTGAACTCAGAAGTTAATACATAACTTTTCACTCCTAATTTTCAATGGTCTTTAGCACCAGCTCAGTGTAAAATATGATTTAATTTAGATTAGGAAATAATATCAAATGGTATCCAAAAATAGAAATAATTTTTAGTAAAGAAAATATAGTTTTAATGGAAAACATAAAACAAAAAAAAAAGGTAATATTTACAGGTATATGCAGTATGTTTTTAAATACAAACTATGAGGGGAAACCGCTGAGGACTCCCTGTAATGGATCAACCTGCTCTCTAAGTTTGTAAATGAAAAAGTGGAGTTCAGAAACATCCTATAGTTTAAGTTTACACTGAAGTAATATTTCTAATAGATATCATACCGTGAATGACCGAATGTCAGCTTTCACCGGTGAATGTCAACAATCGCTATGTCCGAAATATTTGTTGTATCCGATTTGATATTAATTTGTTCGTTAATATTATTATATTCATTCGATATTTCTGCTGAAGATAGATTATGAGAAACATCAGTGTTTGGAGTACCGGTTAAATACATACCGGCAGTGGCACTGAACCTTAAAAAACATTGATGTAGGGCATACCGAGCAAATGTATAATGGGCACCTAACTAGACCTAGTATATATTTCGGACATTTACCAAAGCGACTGTCAACATTCACCGGTGGAAGTCCACCCATTTCGATCATTCTCAGTAACATATACAGCAAAAAATTTTCTATAAAAAGAAAAGTATAATAGAATAATATTTAGATTATATATCACTATAGTACTAGATTAAAATCTTCATTCGCTTCAAAAATATACAGTTTGAAAATAACAGTCTGTTATTTCTATTCTGTATATTTTTGAAGCGAATGAAGTGCTTTATTAAGTACAATATTACCGTTTCAGTTTCTTGGGATTATTTATCGAATTTAGATTGTATGTTTTACTATATTTGAACGCTTGCCAAATGTCTTTCAAGAAAAGTCTTATGTCAAAACTTTTGCGAAACATAAACTAATACAAACCTAATCCCTTGGGCCTAATTGGCGGTGGTCTATTGAGTGGCGTTGGTAGCAACAATTCTAACAAGTTGAGGGCCTTGACACGCCTTAGAAATTTAAAGAAATTTGGTGTATTATATAAATACGACTTTAAAGTATCCATTCCTTAACACTAGATTGCCTAAGGAAGTCATTTTGACTGATTTTAATTTCAATTAGAAAAACAATGATGTATATAATGACACGATTTCTTAGAATTTTGTGCAACATATAATTTTTTTATCATTAATATTTACTAATAACTTGTTATATAACTGTAAATAGTGTAAAAAAAAATTAAAAATTAATTTTAAACAAATTTCTTTACACATTATTTATGCTTTTACAATCCTGCCATTTTGACTGCTGTTGGGCAATATAGATATATATACTAAGTTTCAGTCTTTCTAGTGTTAAAAAAATTTAGCCACAGTTTCAACCTAACCGACAGCGCAGAGGCCTTGACGGTAAAGTACTTTATTTGACGCCCAAACGTTTGCGGTTCAAATATTGCAAGTGGTATCCTTTTTTTAAAAATTTTTTTTAAAGAAAATTATTATTATTATTTTTTATTATGTATTACGCCGACCAGGTGGCCGAGTGGTTAGCGTGTCTGACAGCGGAGCCGTTGGTCGTGAGTTCGATTCCTGCTCAGGGCATGGACGTTTCTTTCTCTCTCTCTGTGTTCTATGTCCTTTCACCTTTGTGTGTGTGATTGTGTGAATGTGACCCGCCCTATAAACGAGTTTGTGGTTGTGTGACGTGGGCGACGCTGCTCCACCGCCGTGGCTTCGCCACAGGTGCCCACTGGGTAACGAGAAGAGAGCAGCAGTTCTGGCATTTCTGTGGCCAATGGGACAATCCCCAAGTGCCGCCATTAAAAAAAAAATTATGTATTACAGTAATAAAAATTTAAAAACAAAAAATTTTATTTTATCATTAGTTTTCTTTTAATTGTTAGATAGTTCTTGATATTCAAAATACATTAATAGTTTATTTTTTCATAACTATAATAATAAATTTTATAATAAAAACATGTATTAAAAGTGCTTATAATAATGGATTGGAATTTATAGAATAATGAAAGAGAATAGATAAGTGAAGTGTGTTAAAACTTTTAATTATATTAGTTACTGATTATACCAATAGAATTTATCCATAAAAATTATTATACCCATTACTTTACCAAAAATTGAATTAATACTTTGTTTAAAGTATCAAACAATATTTACAAATTAAAAAATATTTCAATAAATAAAATAAATTTATGCATATTTAAATTAATAACAGTAAAAGAATAAGAATAAAGTAAGAATATTAGTAAAAACGGAACTCAGAATGTCAAATGTATTCGTCATCACATCTAGGCTAACTAGTCCAGCGAGCAATTAAAAAAAAAGATATCGTGAACAACTTTTGCTGTAATGATGGAATTTTCACGTTTTAAATGGTTCAAAATCTAATGGTTCAATCTAAACGGTTCAAAGGCTAATATATGCTAATTAATAAAGCCTCAAATATGCTAATTACTAAGTATGCTAATTAATAATTAATAAATAATTGAATGATCAGGGATTTTCCACTAATTTTACTTTGTTCTGGCTGTCCGGTTAAAAAGTAGTGTAATTTTCAATACTACAAAATAAAATGTGTGGAAAACCCCTGATCACATTGAGCTTTATTTTAAAAAGTACAAAAACTACAAAGAAAGTAGCTCGAAACTTTTTACGTTTTTAAGATATTCATATTAGACTTTTTTCGTTGGTTGCCACATACGATTCACTACAAAATTACGAGAAAAAAAATTCATATTTTTTTCGCTCATGCTCAGTTCAAAAGAACTACTTTAAATACTCATATCTTGCGTAGTTTTAAGCAACCCTTTCAAATTTTAAAGCAAAATTTTTGTATTACACTTTAAATTGCTCCAGAAATTTGTCTTATCTTTACTGAATATTCTTTAAAATTTAGAAAAAAATATAAGACAAAAACATTAGTTTTTTTCATATATATATAGTATATATATATATTCATATCTCTGTAAATATTTCAGCTAGGCTTATGAAATTTTATGCGGTAGTTGCAAATAAAAACCAAACAGATACAAGTTACAAACTTATTGCTTGATTTTCTGAGATTATTGTCCGTTCCTCAAACCTTTGAAAGCTTTAAATCTTACTGCTATCTTGTTGAAAGGTTTAAATCATATTGAGTCCCGCAGTGGACTGATCGTTAAGACACGGTTCCCAGCAGATCACCGAAGTCAAGCATCACTGGCTACGGTCAGTGTGCTGGTGGGTGACCACTTGGATCAGTCTGCGTGGTGACCAAGGGTGTGCGGTATTGGTCCTCGTTAAACTGTGCTACCGTAAAGTGCTCGACTTCGCGCGCAGGTCGTCGGGCTACCGAAGCGGGGGTGCCATCCCTTCCGCAGAGGATCAAAATTGTGATGGCATGTCTTCGGATCATCCTCCGGGATGTTTCCCAGACCGTCGCCAATAGCCCATTGTGCAGCTCTAGTGCGACGTAAAGTAACAACAACAACAACAAATCATATTGAAAAATCGCATGAACTAAACAACTCTAAAGTTAAAAAATATTTCTTGAGAAATTTAAGAAAAGTAAAAAACTGAAAGTGTCTCCTCCATTATTGTAGGGCAGTGCGACAATAAAATTCGGACAAAGTTATTGCATCATAGAACAGAAGTTAACTAATTTCTTTTTAATCTATGTGTTCATTGCTTTTTGTCTACTATTTTAATTATAAAATATTTTATAATACATTTCTCAATTTAGGTATTGTTTTTTGACTTTTTTGCAATGTCAAGCAAAAGATCTACTATTTTAGAATTGTTTATGGAAAACGACAGTTTGAAATCGCTCATTTGCTCTGCGCATTAAAGTTTGGTCTCCTAAAACTAAAGCAATCGCTTCTGCTGGATGAGAAAGATAAAAGATTAAAGACTATCTACATAGGTTAAAAACTTACAGCCCATTGCTGAAAATTTCAATGCGCGTTTGCTCCTCTACATCGCTGTAAAAAATGGTCCTTTTGAAACCAATTAAATTTATTTATTAGTAAAAGTCTATTCTAATAACTTTTATTACATTTTGTTAATTTATTTATTTTTAATAAAGTTATGTTGAAATTGTTGGTCGGATTTTTGTTGCCGCACCCTGTATATATATATTAAGGAATTATAATTAAGGAACACATTATATATATATATATATATATATGTGGGGACGGCATGAGTGGTCGTCTTTGAAAATAAGAGGCACTGTACTTTAACAAAACATATATTAAACGCTAAATTTACATAAAGATGGACGATAAACAAACACAGAAATAACACAAAATAAATGAGTTCGTCATCGTGAAGTTAAAAGAAAATCATCATTGCTACTCCTCTCTGGAATTCATCAGCGTCTCCTTTTTGGTTANTGGATAAAACATACAAGAATTATAATTTTTTTGATTTAGCCAATTGTTCCTAACACACTTAATTATATGAACACTATCAATAATAAAAAATAATTTTCTACTGCTATCAAATGGGTGTGGATATTCAACCTGAACTTTAGGAGGTGTTGAAAATTTGGACATTGCCTTGCGGTTTATAGAATTATTGTCACTTATGACACAAAATGTATGAAAACCTATAGTTTCAAGACCAATTAATGTCTTTTTAATAAACTCATAGAGTGCATCAGCATTCACGGTTTTTACTGGCATTATTGCTACAACATCTTTGAAACTTGATTCCACACTCTGCACCATATAAACATAGGCAGAGTTAGCAGCCTCAATAGAATTATATGATGCTCCTAATATATCGCCACCCTTAAAGTCAAAAAAAGGTTTTAAATGGACTTCATCTATCATAACAGTAACGGTTTTATCTGCATCAGTTAAATAATCAAATTTCTGTTTAATGTAAGATAAGAAGTTTTCCTCAGTGGATTCATTTTTAGGACTAATATCATATGACATAATCAATTTTTTTATAGTTGAATGATGCGGTAGAATAACATAACCACTGCTTCTCAAAAAATTATATGCATGAGGAGATATAGATAAAAACAATGAAGAAAAAATGAGAAAGTCTGTAGAGTATCGGTTTTGATTTTTTTGAGTAAAAAGTAAAGATAGCTGCTCTTTTAGAAAGTTAATACCTAATTTTTGATTATCTGAGCTTAAGTTTTCTAATTCTGTAAGTTGGACAGTTATAGAGTTAATAAGATTTGGAATATTATCAAACTTTAGATCATTAGACTTATTTAAATAACATAAAACATTTGAAATTTGCTGAACATTACTGATGATTAGAGGAAATGTTAAATCATGAAGTTTCTTAATCTTTACATTATCAATAAAAACACTTAAAGATAGATTTTGATCAACTATTACAGTAATATATGTGGGAACCTGATCAACAAATTTGATTTTCACAAAAGAAAAACTATTTTCAATACTTACCGGATTAAAAACACCATTTAAATCCACTAAACTAGATTTTTCTATCAGTTCAATTAGAGTATCTACTTTAAATTTTACATTATGCTGTTCATAAAGTTCTAAACTTTCAGCAAGGACGCTTTCCAACTGGCACATTTCTATTCTTTTTCTCTTTGCCTCTGGCTCTTCTCGAATTGGCTCATTTTTGGTCATATATTCTGGACATCCAGGAAATATAGATGGAATAGCCTCCTTTGTTAACCTTGGTTGTTCATAGGGCACAACTGTTTTCTTTCCAGTTTTTTCACAAACAAATTCCACAGCTTTCCTAATGTCATTTTCCTTGAAATGCATCTCACATACCTATAACAAAATGAATACATTATTTATATGTGCATTTAAAATAAATATTATATACTATATTCATGCATGAAAAATTAATAGATTTTTGTAGAAAAATTAAGAGATTTAAATTTCAAAATCAAATAAAAAAAAATTTGCTTTAAGCAGTTACATTATATTACGGTCAAACAAAAATGTTTTAAAGTTTGAGCAAAAATTTAATAAAATACTAAAATTATTAATATTTTTATAAAATAAAACTCTATAAAAATAACTATATATATATATAAAAATAGCTATATAGTTATTTTGTCATTATACACAAAATTTATTACAATAGTTTCGATATGATTGATAAGAACAACTTAATTATTACGATTAATTTATCCACAATTTAAAATAATTTACTCTAAGTAAAAATATAATAAAGAATCATAATTACATTTTTAAAAATAAAAACAAATATTACTCACTTTAGAATTCTTTGTAACTTCAAAATCTCTTGGTATGGCGGCAAGCCATTTCTTACGTAATTCTTCATCTTTGGGAAATCCGAAAACAGATACTTTTGTACCATCAACTTTGTAATTTCCTCTACAGTTTGGTACACAGCATTTAAATACCATTATTCATAACACTAAGAATTAAATTAATGCTGAAATTTATAACATTTGTAGAATAAATATAAATTTTACGAAGAACGTTTACAACAGAACACCGACGGTTGTTTACAAATTCTAATCAAAAATATTCGCCAATTGGCTGAATGCGTACACAGGTTACAATACTTCAGAATATCGCCAATGGCTCGTTTGATCAGATTCGGATTTTTTCGAAAAAAATAGCTACCCTGACTGGTTTTCCTCTGGGCCTAACTCGACTACGTCATCATCGCCTATAGTAACCCGTTGTGGGGCTTGATTCCTCTAGGAGGTATTGAGCAGCGTCGCTCACGTCGCGCAACCACAAACCCGTTTATAGGGCGGGTCATAATCACACACACAAAGGAGAATGAACATAGAACACAGAGAGATAGAAAGAAACATCCATGCCCTGAGCGAGATTCGAACCCGCAACCACCGGCTCCGCAGTCAGGCACGCTAACCACTCGGCCACCTGGTCGGTGGAACACATTATATAAGGGCATGAAATTTTAAATCAATAATAATATAAATGATCAGAATAAAATTTTTGCTCACCGCTATTTGCACGAAAAATAGAACCAATTTTTACAATGTTAACAGGTGTTGGCAACCAAAACAACGAAAGTATTATACAAAATTAGGAGCTCTAAATTTATATAGATGCATCTGATATTTTTCGTAAAACTGACAAAATGAAGCATATTTACAATTACATTTTATCGAAAAAAAAATAATTGTATTGTTATCAACTTAAAATAAGGTTGACATAAGGTTTCAATAGCTCCAGTATATTGCACAGATCATTAAAAGTTGTTAAAATAAGAGAAATTTAAATTAAAGAGTTCTCATAACACTTTGTACAGCGCTTCCTTTCGAGTCTAAGATATCATTTATCAGTTGCAGTCAAACTCTGTTATTGCATTCCTATTTATAGCGTGTAAACAGAAACTCTCAATTCTGGATCAGATATGGTAGTTTGATTTGAAACAACATTTTATAACACAAAACTTACTTGCTGGCCTTAAATATTCAGTTGCTAATGGCGAGTTGACGAGAGGAAATTTTGTGCTATGCCCTATATATAAACGATCTGATCATCATATTTTGGAGACTCTTATCGTGCAAACTTTTCAGCTTCATGATTAATGGTATCTACGTTAAGGTATTAACGTACAAAACGTAACGTCGTATGGGGTACGATTTTAAGGTATTGTTACTTCTCGGGAAATATTCAACTGATCTATTGATAATTTAGAATATTTTCTATAAAAGTCTTATTAAATTTAGTTAATTATTAAAAATTATTTTTTAATAGAAATTATGATTAGGTAAATGAGTTTTTGCAATTCTGCTAAAAATCTTTCGATTTTCAGAATTACGTCTACCTCACCTCTTTTAAATTTAAAAAAAAAAAAAANAAAAAAAAAAAAAAAATAAATATAAAACACAATAAAATCAGCTATATAAACAAGAAGTATCAATAAATTATTTGTCAATCTGTTATTTCCGCATATTTTCAAACTTTTATAGTTAACATTATTTTATTTTAAAATTCATTGCCAAATTAAAAATTTTTTTTTTATTAAATTTAAACTATTAACTTGCATAACAGTTTTAAAACATCTAATTCATTCAAATATGCAAATCTGTTAGAAAAAAAACAGTGAATAAAGCTCAATGAGAAAAAAAAAATGTAGTAATTTGTACTAGTCCTAAATAGTATCGATTTATTTCTAGTGTCTCGAAATAATACGATATTTCGTTAAAAGATCTTTTTTCTATTCAAAGCAGCTGGTCTCTTATACATTGTCCTTTCCACGCAGTTGCAATCAATATGCTACCACCTCCCTAATTGTTATGCTGGTTCTTATTTAGACATTTTTAGAAGCTGTTTTTGTGCCCTAAATAATGAAACAATCGAACGTTTACTCATTCTTCAAAAAATGCATTCTGACATTCAGCTAATTTAAAAAATTCTCGACTAGACTCATATATATATATATATATATATATATGTANTTCGCATTCATTTAAGGTACTTGATATCTTTATCGAAAGGTACTATCTACTGTATATATATATATATATACATACATATATATAAAGTGTAATGAATTCATGTAAATGCTTATTCACTTAAATAGTAGACGGTAATTCAGTTTTACAGCTTTAAAATACTTTTTAATTAATTATATGAATTAAAGTAAATAGTAATAATTATTATTTGGTGTTGAAATAATAATTTTTTCAGTTGCACTTCTTTTATAACTACTTCTGTAGCAACTACTTAGATTAGCGATCTTTTAGCACATTAATAATTGTAAAAATTAAAGTCAATTAATTTAACGAAAAAGCTGAATGTTTATTTCATGGGAAAAATGCTTAACAAAAAAGTAAATTTTTTAAATGAAAAAAGATTGCGAAGGGTCCGTTTTTAAGAAAAATATTTTGTAAAAATCTCTTTTTACTATAAAATGATTTGCTAAGGGTCCGTTAACGGGTCCGTATTTCTCCTTAGCAGACCTCAATTTGGAAAAATTAAGAAATCAAGAATTTCCCTCCTCTATAACTATAAGCTGGCAGCGCTCTTGGCTACGAGATAAATTTTACGCTGGCATATCAAAATATAACAATAAAAATAGAGAAGAGCTTTTTAGAAACGAAAGCGGAAATTCTCGAGGAGGTGACGCAAAAAAAGTTGAGGCTTATCGAAAGCAGCAGTTCCTAATTTTTTTCGGCTGTGGAACCCTCGATCGACCTTTTGGCGGAACCTCGTGATTTAATGAATAACTTTCACCCGATTGTTAGCATATTAATTGATGGAAGAATATTTATTATTATGAAAATATGTAATGATCTATTCTAAATGTTATTTCGGTAATATAGTGAATTATGGGAATTTGTTCATATCGTTTCATTAAGATTAGTCTTAAAATTTGGTTTTATGCTAGACAATTAAATTCACAGCGGCATCTAGTTTAGTTCTTAATTTGATTTCAATGCATGCATAAACTGAAAAGGAATAAGCTGAAATATGGTTTCCATTAAAATGAAAACGAATAACGAAGAAACGAAATAAATTAAATGTTGAGAATGGTTATCAGGGAAACATACTTCTTCACTGCTGAGCAGGGGCGTGTTTAGGATTTAAGGCGGCCCTGGACGAAACATTGAGGCATTTAAACATGGTTAGTAAAAATAATTTTTTTTTTATTTTTTTTGTTTAACAAAGTATATATTAAACATTGAATTCTTAAAATTTCAATCAGTGTTTTTTAAATTGTTTCCGCTTTAAACAATAATCAAAACTGTAACAAAATGCGTAAATGATATTTAATATTATTTAACAATACTACAACTAAAATTCTTAATACCACTAATAATAAAAAGGTCAATATTATTATTTAATTATTGCAAACTAATTATTGAGCAAAGGAATAATCCTTTTTTTTTTATCAAACCTAAAACGTTAATGAGTTGCAAAATCAGAGAACTAATTTGTTGAGTGGAAAAATTAATTCAGATCAGAAAACATTTTAAAAAATAAATTAACTTTGACCGAACAAGTTTTTAATCTTTATTTAAGAGTAGATATCTTTATTACATGTTTAATAAGTTTCAAAATTACTTGTATTGAAATGTGTATAAAATTAAATGTGTATAACTGAAGTATATTTATTAATAATAAAACAGCAAATTATTTTAAATACTTCAATGAGCACATTAAAATGTGAAAATGACATATAAAAAATTATAATTTAAAAGTTACATACTTATCTACATTTAAGCTCTTTATAATATTTAGTTTCTTAATTTATCAACTTATTCCTTGATTCTATGAATAAAACATTTATTATCAACATTTTATATCAATGGTTTATTATCATAGCCTTAAGTATAATATATTAGAGAAAGGAGTACTGCATGAATAATATTTTTAAATAAATCTATGGTTAAAAAAATCATGTGATTCAAATCAATTATTTTTAAATTAAATATTTCTAAATCATGTCAACCCTATTTTTATTATCTTAACAATTTCCTCTTAAGAGATTGTACTCCACTCAAACTCATAGACCGGTAATAGTTGAAATTTTTAATATAATAAATTTCTCTGACATGTTGAAAGTGGACAAAAATTATACGTTGTTATTTCAAAAATTACACTCCTGATATAAAGGAAGATTAACTGAAATGAAATTAGACACATTTTGAAATATAAATTATAATTACACGTAGCAATTATCTATCCAAGGAATAGTAAAAATATATCCAAGATTTAGCAAATGCAAAGAAAAAATTGTTATAAAACTATTAATCAGTACTGAATTTTTGGTGGTCCTAAATTTTAGCGGCCCTTGGCAGTCGCCCTGTTCGCCCACCCTTAAGCGCAACCTTGCTGTTGAGTTTGAAAATCACTCGATGCGAAATACTAATGGAATTTTTCATAAATGCATATCCTTTTAATAATTTATTTATTGTATTGTTTTTAAAAAACATTGTTTTGAAATTTCTTTTTTAAAAAGTATTTCAATTAAATAATTACATGAAAATAATGGAATAATGGATTAAAAATTGGATATAAACTTAATGGCAGGTTTCAAAAATCACAACTGGTTAAAAAAAATTCTGACTCTCAGAACCCCTGAATTCCTTTTCAACCTAATGCTTTTCAACTAAAAAGACTCAAAATCATAATGAATTTAAAGTTTCAAAGCACTGGTATTCAAAGCGTTAATATTAAGTTGAGTTTATGATGTTTCAATTTTTACTAAGTTTTTACGTCTTTTGTTATTTGAAATACTTTTATATTATCTTTTGAGTTTAAATCAAACAAATTCTGCTGTATTCTAAGTGTATATCTGAAAATCCCGAAAAATTTTGTGTCGACACTGTTTCCTTATCTTTATTGCTCAGATGCCAGCTAACTTCCAGTTATGGAACAATTGAGGCGCATAAGAAATATAACATGCTTAGCAAAAGGAAAAAAAAGAGAATTTTGTATCTTCTTTTGCTTATTTTATGCATTTACTAGCTGCCTTCGGAAGCGAGCTGAAACCGCTTGACACAATTTCCAATAGAAATAAGGTTGTTTTGAAAAAACACAGTGCATTTAAATTATGTTTTACTAATTTTTAAAGGTGCTCACATTAATGTTCACCAATAATTAATACTTACTGCTCATCCTGAAACGCTTAGAA